GTTTTTCTCTTGTACAAGGCATCTTACTCGCTTCCCTTAGTATCCCATTTCATTGATACTACAATCCCAACCGAGACCGTTCAGACGCCCTCTCTTCTTTCCAGTGTTTTCTCTTGTGCTGGTCACAAGACATCAAGTTACTCCCTTCTCTACCCCATTTCATTGATACTACAATCACAACCGAGACCGTTCAGACGCCCTCTCTTCTTTCCAGTGTTTTCTCTTGTGCTGGTCACAAGACATCAAGTTACTCGCTTCTCTACCCCATTTCATTGATACTACAATCACAACCGAGACCGTTCAGACGCCCTCTCTTCTTTCCAGTGTTTTCTCTTGTGCTGGTCACAAGACATCAAGTTACTCGCTTCTCTACCCCATTTCATTGATACTACAATCACAACCGAGACCGTTCAGACGCCCTCTCTTCTTCCCGCAAACATCGATCCTGGTCATCACCCGGCTGCGAATATTTTCACATCATGCAAACTCATTGCGTGGTCCTTATTACCCTCTTTGCGACCTCGGTCATTGCTCTCCCTCTCGCAACATACATGGATGTATCACTCACCGAGGAAGGTTCTCTGTGGTAAGTAAGAAGTCTTTCCATGTGCATTATCCATGGAACTAATCTTTCGACCGGTCGCTGCAGGGGGCGTGCCACTGTCAAAGAGGCGGACGAAGCTGCTCACGCTGCCTGGACAGAACACGCAAGGACCGAAGCGAATCGCGTGCAGCAGCAAGTACGGAACATGATCCTTGAAGAATACCCACACGGCCTCCCCCAAAATGCTAACGAGGAAGAGTGGAGGAAGCTACACCACTTTTGGGACATACATACCAACACTCTCGCCAACAACGTTGAATGGCAACACCTGAACCACCCAGATAGAAAATCGCCGGAACTGGGGGACTACCAAAACGACTTGCAGAAGCACAAAGCAAATACGGCAGCGTTACAAGCGGCCGAAGAGCGTCTCGTTCAGACCACTGCGCGCCATGCGACAACGGAAATTCCTTCCACAGCTGTGGCCCAAGCGGTTGCGACTGCGAAGGCGCAGTTCGTGGAAGCTTCGGCGCAGCACTCAAGGACTCGGGCTCTTGTCAGCTATCATCAGACAACACCCGGTAAATTGTTGATGCCTGTACCCACGGAAGCTCTGGCGCAGCGGTCAAGCACTAGTACTAAGGCTCCTGTCAACCCTCATCAGGGTGTATGGTTGGTCGGGCGTCAAGCACCCCGAGCACACCCTCCTCCACACGGGTAGGCACGCGGGCACACGAGCCAGTGGCACGATTGAGCAGGGGAGGGGTAGAGAGAAAGAGTGGTTCATGGGATTAGCCATCGTACGTTTGCTGTGCAGAATGACAGATGTGTAAGGCACACCTGTGTGCGGGAGTGTATGGGAGAAGGGTACGTGATGAGGGTCCGGTTTGGTGTAGATTTGGCCTCAGCTGGTCATGCAGCCATGCCTTACAGCCCAATGGCAGCACAGAAGCGGCGACTCATAGAGATATCAGGTTTAAGTACAGCTGCTGACACGAGCTCGACACCAACGATGAGCATGAGCAGCATGCCAACGAGGTAATCATCTATGCTCTCCTATAGTGGCTGTTCACACTCGGACGCTCTGGAGGATCTCCCTTACGTGCATCATATCCTACAGCTCTTTCTCTTCACTAAGATGATGGCAGCTAAGGATCTCGTGAGAAAGGGCGACCCGAGGAAGGAACGGCTCTATTTATCCGCCGCCTCGTCTATTTCTCGCCAGACGACAAAGTCCTCCCTCCCCTCCTTATTCTGAAATAAGAAGGGAAGGTATAGAAGGACATACCCACCATAGTCGTACACTACTATGGCGAGCCGCGGCATGGAATGGGAGATATGCAGCTGGTATTGCGTGAAAGGTAGAACATGCCTGATAGAGGCCCCGAATATTCAGGTTAGGGTTACTTGGGTTAGGTGCTGGGTTGTTGGACTGGTGGGACCCCTGCCACCCACCTACTCTCACGAGCTAGGGGATCTGCAGGGTTACTCTCTAACTTTCTATAAATGCTACCACGACACTTCTTAACTTCCTGACTTGAGCAAGTCTCTTTTCACTGAGCCAACCTCATGTCCGGAACACCGACATCACGAAGCTCAAGGCGACAGTCAAAACCTGCAGAACGCTATAACGATGGCGCGCTCAGCTGGGAACAAGTAGTCGACTTATTCCCTGAGATGGACGAGGAGGATGGACAGGAAAGCGAAATCTCCGCCGGTGAGTAACATGTCATCGATCGTTCAACCCAAATTCTGACACGGTTTACAGGCGGCTCTGACTATGGAGAAGGCGAGGAACTAGGAAAAGAAGCTGTGGACGGATCAACAGATGGAGAGGATGATGAGATGATGATCGATCCCCAGCTGCTTGATCAGACCTACTCGCTGGACGATGTTGAAGACGCGTTCCAAGACGATTTTATGTACGCCCAACTACGTCAATAAGGCTGGCTGATACTGACACACAACAGAGTGCTGGTGGATCAGATGAACGCCGCGGACGACGTTGGCCACAGCGTCACACGCAAAGATTTCACTATGACGGAACAGGACATGGACCTGCGCGAAACCTTGCGCGCTGCTGCTAGGATAGGCAGGCGTAGACGAAAGGGCAAACGAGTATGCACACCAAATTACCCTCAATACTGTCATCTGACGTGATCAATCAGCGAGCGCGTGCACAGTACTCTGAGGAAGTGCGTGCTCTGCTCACCAGCGCCCAAACCGCGTTTGTCGACCAGAATCCACAAGAGGCGATCCGTATCGCCCGTGAAGCTGTCCGTATTGAGCCGAGAGCTATTGAGGGTTGGAGCGTTCTCGCAGGCGTGTTTGCTGAGCTGGGTGATGTCGATGCTGCCCTCAAGTTTCGTATCATGCGAGCACACATGACCGCAGAGTCTGGGATTTGGAAGGACCTGGCGGCTGAATCTCTGTGGGTCACTCGTCTCACGAAAACCAAACCGCTTACTCTTCGATAGAGCCTTAGACCTCCCCCGCCAGGCTTTGTATTGCTATCGCAAGTTGCTTCAGATTAACCCCCACCACGAAGACGCGATATGGGATCGCGCATATCTACTCAAGGCCATGGGCGAGTTAGACCAAGTGAGGCATTCCTCGTTGTGAGAATACGGTTTCTCACCCCACATCTCAGGCCCTCAAAGGGTTCGAGAACCTTCTTCAGCTGAACCCGCATAATCCGAACGTACTATTTCAAATCTACCAGGTTTGTCTCGAGTCTAGCAACTTGTCAAGAGCCCTGTTTCTCTATCAATCTGCATTCGATTTCTTTCGCAAGTTTCCGCCCAATGAGGAGTTATTTGGCATCCCTTCGTTATCTATCCTTGCCGATCTCCAAATCAGTGTCGGCAATCTTGAGGGTGCGATTCAGACGGTGAAATCCGGTGCACGATGGCTGCAAAATCGCTCGAATGAATCGTTCTGGGACTTGATCGAGGACGATCGAGAGTTTGATCCTCCGGGGTTCACGCGGGAGGCCGTGGAAGGTCAGGAGGAAGATCAGCCGCCGGGATATCATCCACTGCCTTTCGAGCTACGCCATCGGCTCGCGATCGCCCGATTAAAAGGTGGGAATGATGCAGAAGCTGAGGTGAATGATTCGTCCTGACTTCTGGATTATGCTGATTGTCCCTAGATTCATGTGGACGTTTTACGTGCATTGGATCGTGAGCTTCATCCAGAGTTCAATGAGTACATGATGGAAATTGGTGATGTCTACTTCGAACGCGGTCTTTGGGAGGAGGCGTATGGAGCATACGACGATGTTCACGGTTCCTCAGAGGTACGTCGGTCGTAATCGTTGCTCGACGTCGCTAACGCTAATCACTATCCTTATAGCTTGTTAGTCGTCACCTCTTGACGCAGATTGGACGGTGTCTGCGCAATCTCGGAAGACTGAAGGACGCGATTGCAGTCCTGGAGCAAGGTAGGCATCGAGGTCCCTGGTCTTTAGAACAGCCTGACGTGTGACCGTTAGTTCTCGAGGCAGCGCCCGACAGTATGGAAGCGAAGCTGGACCTCGTGGAGCTCTTGGAAGCGAATGGCCAGCTTGAAAGGGCCTATGACATGGTACTAGAAAGTGAGCCGTGCGAATTTATTTGATATGTCTCGTTCAAGATCTTCAGTCAAAGAATCCCGCCAGCAACATGTCAATGAAGGGGAAGAAGAGCCGCGCACGGCAAGCACAGAAGCCCCCGTTTTCAAAGACATTGAAAAGACAGCGATTACGAAAGGTCCTGCAACGTTGGAAGAGAGTGTCGCACTGGAAGAGCAGAGAACCGAGGTGGCCCTGGCGATCTATGAGAGGCTTCAAAGTTTCGAGGAAGCTGCGGAGCGGGGTGATCCCCTGGCTCTCGAAGAATGGATGTTCCAGGCCCGCCGCTTGATTGACATTTTCCGCCAAACTCGAATGCTCTTCCCGTCGAACCCAGTATGTACCCAATTAAGTACCCTACTTGGTGTGCTGATGCGGCCGCAGAACCGCAAGTACACTGGTTTCTTCAGTCGAACGAACGTGATTATGCGAGAGGCACGTCAAAAGGGCGTCGACATCGACCAATTTATGGCCGACATTTCCAGTAGACTGCGAGATTCAATGCGTGAGTGTTATTCCTATGGTGACTGGCATCACTCCCATGCCCATGCCAGAGGACGAGGCGCGGACGACACCCTTTCCCGAAGAGTATTCCACCCGTTTCCGAGGAATTGGATTTGACGAATGGGCTCTTCTCTTTCTAACGGTATGAGTCCCTTTTCTTCTACACGGGATTGTCTTGCATATTTATCTGCTTAGTATTGCTTCCGCTTGATGAGACGAGGTGAATATCTCGAAGCTGAAAACATCTTGCGCCATACGAGCTTCTCCAACATATTCAATACACCGAAGTATCGTGATACGTTCAATGTAGCTATATTAGGTATGCGTCTCTAATCTTCCTTCGATGCGAGTCTCAAAGCCGTGTCAGCTGGAGCTGTCTTCACTGGCAATCTCCAAACTTTCAAAGAACAGACAAGAAAGATTATTTTTCAAAACCAGTTCAACAATGACGCTGTTCGACTTTTCATTGCTGTGCTAGGGACGAACATTGATGCATACATTACATTCACTGAACCGAAGCTAAGCAAGTTCCTTGTGCGAGAACTCAAGATCGGACAGGCTGCCGCCAAGGGCGAGCGGCTGCACACGTCCCGGGGACGATGGGTTTTGAGGAGGTCTAAGCAGGCAATCGACAAAGGGGACATCGATGTGGACGATGGCGCCTCTGAGGAAGAAGAAGAGGCACTTCCCACTCTCGGGAGCTCTGCACCGAACTTGACTGGGAAGCACGAATATCGACAAGTGGACCTGCCAACGAAAGAAAACCCATTTTTGATTGGACTGTATGGCCAAATTCTGATGGCAGTTAGAAGCTATCAAACGGCACTGTGTACGTAATCAGCGCTCGGGGGAACATTCTTGTGCTGACTTCCTAGTCTTCTTTTTGCACGCGTACGAGCTCGATCCGCATGACCCTCTGCTTTGCCTCTGCCTTGCTGTGGCATATCTTGGTCGATCCATGCAGCGACAGTCCGATAATCGACACCACCAGATTGTTCAAGGACTCGCATTTCTCACTCGGTACAAGACTCTCCGGGCGTCATCAAATACTTACGGAGAGGAGATCGAGTATAATTTCGGGCGGTATTTCCACCAGATTGGAGTGCTGCATTTAGCCACGAAGCATTATCGTCGCGTGCTGGACATTGCTCGTGCTCGCATGCATTCTGGCCAAAGGATCCCGCCTCAGGCGCCTGTTAAGGAAGCTGCGTACAATCTTTCACTTATTTACGCAACGACGGGTGCGGCGGACGTTTCTCATGTTCTCTATCAAGAATGGCTCACGATTTAGCCATTTGTGTCTCCACCCACTGTATGCTAACGCATCAATGTTGTAATATGCCTAATCCTTTGTACCATCATCTATCAAAGATCGACTGAATATTCCCTTGGGTCAAGCAGACGTCCTCACACGTCACCGTGTGGAACTGTTAGCTCTCAATGCTCATGCTCAGCTCAGCTCGATGCTACACAGCAGACAAACAGGTTTGGCCGAGAGAGGAGAGATCAGAGGAGAACGAGCACTTCCGTCCCGAATGAAGAGAACAAAGACGGTTGTTGCATAGTTCATATCGTACATCCGAACAGGAACTCGCACTCGGAGGAGATCGTATGCCACCCCATGCAACTTCCCTCATAAAATGCTGTCACCTCTCCCCACTACGGAATCTTGCACTCTCCCCACACCTGCCACAGTCTCATAGGCTTGCCATCCGCAGAGTCGCCTACTCCCTCCTCGCAAGGGCGAAGATGCCCTCATACCCATCCTGCGTCTTCTCCGTGAAGGTATCCCTCCACCTGCCGACGAGGTACCTCTCGCCTATGAGGTAACCGCGGTAGAGCCAGGTGCCGCGCGCTACAGGCTGTGTGAAGTTAACATCGTAGCCTGCGGAGAAGGAAAGCAAAAAAGAGATAGGAACAGGGGTAGAAAAGCAGGAAAGGACAAAAATGAACGATCTGCAAATGCGTAAACCACGAGCACAAAGGACACCTGACTGACCGTATACTCCTTCCTCAAGCTGACCAGCCCATCCCATCCCCTGACAGATCCGACAAGCCTAAACTCTCCCCAGGCACTATGTCCCTCGCCCTCGAGGACTCTCTCCTCTTCCTCCCACCTCCACTCTCCATCCAGCACGCTATCCATACCTGTCATCTCGCCATCTCCTGCTCCGCGCTCACGTCGCTCTGCGAGCACTTGTCGACGACGGGACTCGGGGATGGGTGAGAGACGAGTGAGGAGCCGCCAGACCTGGGGCTGGGAGGCGAACGCGCCTTCGTACACTGAGCGTGTGGAGCCAGTAAGCATATCCCGGTATGAATCAAAGTCAAAGAACTGTGCCCGTCAGCCCCTGCCCCATGACCTTGCAGGAAGAGTCGCGCTCACGGTGAACTTTCCCTCCCAAACCCCATCCACATGTGTCTCCCTGCCCAGTCCAAGCCCAGCGAGAAGATCCCAACAGCCGGTGATCCTCCCCCAGTCCGAGTCCCAAACATGGCTACCCCTGTCCTCGCTCAGCTCTCTCGCATATGGCGGGCGGACGACCTCGAGCTGCCCCGCTCCGTGAGCGGTGTTCGCCGCTGTGGGGGTTGCGGTGTGGTGCATTGGCTGTGCGACAGGGGCGAGGGGCATAGCGAGGGGCATAGGGGCGGCGTCTGGGGGAGAGAGGGAGGTACGAAGGGAGAAGAGCATAATTGCTGCTAGGCCTGCTGGGGGCGGAGAGACGGGGAGCAAGTGACCGAAATACGGAATTTTGGTTCTCGGTTCTGATCCTGCCGGTGCGGGCTCGTTACTAGTCGAGGCAGAAGGGGAAGATGCGGAAGGGGAGGAGGAAGGTGATGGGAGCAGAGGCATCACAGGTTCATACCACGGCGCTGAGAAGATGTCGTATTTGTGTGCTGCAAAAGCGTACGGTCTGAGTGCGTATAGCGCCGCCTGCTGGGTGAGCGCTGCTTCTCGTTCGAGTATCCCTGTACGGTGTAAGTCGAGCAAGCGGGCAGGGGAGGAACGCACCTTCTTCACAGGTAAGCCAGAGTACCCAGAACCCAAGTGCACGCTCCTCTGTCTCCTCTGGCAAGCTCATGTCCATACTCGGCCTCAATATCCTCTCTTGCCAAAAGAGCTGGATATACTCATCCAGCCCTGCCCACGCGAGTTGGCATGCGTTCAGCCCGTCGTCTTCCATCAAGAGGGTGAGTGCGACCCATAGTTCTCGTTCTGGGGATTCTTGGAGTGTGTGGGAACGCACTGCTCGCCTGATGCTTGCTAGAACGGACCAGCGATTCCGTAGCTCATGGCCTACACTCTCTGGGTGGAAGTCTGCACCTCTGCGCTTGGGAGCGAGAGAGTCAAATTGGAGTGGAAAGATTGCAGCGTACAAGGGTGCGTTTGTGCGATAACCCAGTGAAGCATGGAATGCTCTGCAAGTGAGTCCGAGGGCGCGTGCGGGTGTGGGTGGACCTGAGAGAGGGATTGAAGCGAGTGATATTTGAGTGAGTATTTCTGGTGGAAGAGACAGAATTGGAGAATTGTTAGATGGTGGTGGTGTAGAAGAGAGATGAGGAGGCATGGTAAATGTAGAGTAAATAAGATCAATACCTTCAAATGTTGGCAACAAGGGGACTCTTCAATTGATCGTATTCATATCACCGCCACTCTCCTTATTTCTAATAATTTCATCCTTCCATCCATATACATCATAGATTGTACAAGTTGGCCTCGTCTAAAATCATTCCTTCCCACCACTTTGCTTTGTAGTACCGTGGGTTGTAGCGCCTTGGTTTGTAGCAGCAACGTGCTGTGCCAAATGCTTCATGAGCTGCCGAGTCCTTCACTGGGCTCGCAAGAGGTAGGGTCAACCAGGCCCTCAAATGCTGGAATGTCACACTTCCGTCCCTTAGGTTATGGGTCAGCAAGAGGGCCTGAACTCCTATTATTCAGTACAGGTGCTTCAAGCACTGAAAGTCATGCCGAGAGAGCAGAGGGTACTGAGCGTACAGATTCCTAATACTACAAAATATAGTATGTACCAGAAAAAAGTGTTCCACTTCTCTAGAGCAAGAAGTGTAATTGTAAGTAATGTATATATGACTACCTAATTGAGATGCATGGCCTTGTCCAAGTCCACCAACTCTAACATGGTCTTGTTCAAGTCCAAGGGTGCGCTCTCCTCTTTTGCTGGCGCATGTGGTGCTACTGGTGCATATGGCAAACTCTCCATGTTGTCATGTAACCAGCAACAGAACTGTGGCATCTCTGCATCAGTCATGGATGTCTGGTCAACACCCCACATGACTGCCAATCTGGGCTAGCACCCACAACCCACAATCATGGCCATTCTGTTGTTCTGGGACCTAGATCATATTTAACAACATTCTCTGCCCTGGGGGGGTGAACACACATACCAAGGCTGCATGTGCTTCCCAGCCTACCCATAAGCACCCAGGCCAGTCCTGGGAAGATTCCTCAGCGATTTCCGTCACCCTATGCTTTATCATCTGCATGTCTAATCAGTACTGGCTATGTGAGATAAACATGAGGATGCACCATAACAGCCAACCTCCAATGGTGACACAGTGAGTCATATGTAATGATGCAGCATTCAACAAAGTCCACATGCCCCAGAACCCAGTGATTCACCATGTGGAAGGGGAATAGCCACTCTGAATGTTCCCAGCATGCTTCCATATTGAACACATTTTGGCAGAGTTTCTTAGCAACATGCTTTTCCATCCACTTCTTCCTCAAGTATGTGTCAAAGTCAGGCCATGCATAAGAGGAGAAGACTTTGCAACTAAAAGCCTCTCCATTCTTCTTGCTGGGGGGGTGTTAGGGCAGCACAGGCTGACTAAGTCTGCTCACCTAAGAGTGCCAAG